TGTGCTCGCCTGACGTCACCTCAGTCGGCACTCTAATGGATACGGTCCCATCTGGACACTGTGGAGCTGCATCAATCTCCATCACCTGCGATATCTCCTCTGTCGGGGTACTCTCCACCTGATAAGAGTTGAGAAACTTCAAGATCGAAACATCATCGAAAGTGACGTCTCTACTCAGCACAATCTTCTTATCAACTGGATCCTAAAGCTTGTATCCTTTAACACTACGTTTGAATCCAACAAATATGGTATTTCTAGCTCGAGGTTCCAATTTATCAGTCTTTACATGATAAAATGCAGGGCACCCAAATACCTTGACCTGATCATAATCGCGTGTTTGCTCTCCTGACCACATCTCCATAGGAGTCTTTTCCTCTATCGTAGATGAAGACGGACTATTAATGAGGTGACTTGCATATGAAAATACATCAACCCAACAGATCTTCTCTAAATCACTCTGTGATAACAAACATCAGACCTTCTCCTGTAAAAATCGATTCAATCTCTGTGCCACCCCATTCTTTGTGAAGTGTCTTTCTATGCCGACATAGCTGTTGAAAGGGGTCTAAAGTGTACTCGACGTCGTTATCGGATCTCAACGTCTTGATTTTTCTCCCAGTTTGCAGTTATAATCTTCTCTTCCACTCCACAAATAACTCTAGGACTTCATTCTTATGCTTCATGGTGTACACCCAACAACACCTAGAATAGTCATCTACAAACGTGAAGAACCAATGTCGACCACTAAATGATGACGTCTTGGTGGGACCCCAAACATCCGTGTGCACATAGTCCAAGATGTCGGTCGTCCTGTGTACGGCTGTCCTGAACTTCACCTTTGTCTTCTTACCAAGAACGCAGTGCTCACAAAATTCTATCTTCCCACTCTTGGCTCCCTTCAATAGCCTCTGCTTGCACAAAGTTTGCAGTGACTTTTTACCTATGTCCCAATCTGTAGTGCTAAAGTCTGCTCGTGTACGCCTCTGAAATAGCTGAAGCTACCTGGCCAATATCGGTGCTCCCCTTCAGATAATAAAGATTCCTAATGCGAACCCCCTTTATCACTACCAAAGATTTCTTAGTAACTTTTGCTACAGTGTTCTCAATAGTCACCTTGAATCCTTTTGCCTACAAAACTCCAACGAAAATAAGATTCTTCTTCAACTGAGGAACAAATCTCATTTCATTCAGCTCTCGAACAACTCCATCGTGCATCCGAATCCTGACGGTACCTATCCCACAAATGTCACAGGTTTGATTATTTTCCATGACTACCACGCCCTCATCGAGTTTCTCGAAAGATGCAAACCAATCTCGTCGGGGAGTCACATGATAAGTAGCGCCAGAATCCAGCATCCAATCCGATGCATCCACATGGTTCGCCTCTGGAGTAATCAGTAGAGAAAAGCAAGAATCATCTGAATCATCACCTCTAGCGACATTCACATCATTGGCCTTCGGGTCATTCTTCTTGCTAATCTCCTTCTATCTGAGCTTCGGGCATTCTCTCTTCTAATGTCATTGTTCTTTGCAGAAAGCACACT